GGTCTGAGCTTGTGGGCCGTGTGTACTTTGTACTCCCTTTCCCCCACACGGAAGGGGATGATGTCGTCAATGTAGAAGGGTTGCCCTTCCGGAAGACTAAGTGCCAGCATTAGATAATAGTCACGTCGTGCCACGTGTGGGGGGAGGGGGTCTATGAAATGAGTATGATATTGTTCATTTTGCTATCACCTCGGGAGGTGGTACCAAATTTTCTTTTGCTTTTCAGGATTTTGCGAGAAGAAATTTTAGCACATCTGTCAACTGCCGGAGGGTGTTGGTAGCAGTAGAAACGTGGGGAATTTGCCACATCTGCTGAAATGGCATTTCCAGTGTGGGTCACACACTTTTTTTTTTTTTTTTTTTTTTTTTTTTTTAAATTGCCCTTGCTATATCCCTCTATCCTGGCGGTGGTAGGAGAACTGTCAGAATTGAGGGCTTACCTTTCGGGCTGCTCCATCTATTGGTGGGGAGCGGCACCTGCTGGAAACCGGGTCCAGCGTCCCATTTGATACATAGTGAAGCACTGGGATTGATGTTCTTTGTTTCCTGGGCCTGTGGCTATTGCTTACTCATCCTGGGGCTCCATCATCCCATGGAGCTGCTATTATACATCGTGAAGCACTGGGATTGATGTTCGTTGTTTCCTGGGCCTGTGGTTATTGCTTACTCATCCTGGGGCTCCATCATCTCGTGGAGCGGCTAGTATCACCCTTCCTTAGCGCTCTTTTTTTGTCCACATGCCTTGCAGAAATCCCGTGAGCAACGGGCTTGTCTGTTGCGGCGGAAACTGCACCCTCCTGTGGCATTCCTTCCGCTCTGCTCTGCCGACTTCCCCCTTGGTAGTGCGTTCCCCCTGGTCGCCCATAGATGGCAATAGGCACGCTTCCGCAGGTAATAGATCTATCTTCTGCCGGCCTCCCCCGCGGTTCCATTTCAGATGGGAGCCATGGTAGAAGCAATGACCGCTGTCCCTCCCTGCGAAAAAACGTTGCTTTGTGGAATGGTCCCACCGGGTCACATCAAGGGGGGGACGACGGCTCGAACCGTCTGGAAATGAGGGGTTCTTGGACGTGCCCCCAGCTGGTGTTGTTGATCGTCGTTCGCCAGTGCCGGCCCCGTGGCGTGCTCCATCTCCAAGCAGCAGTTTGTCTCATTGCTGGCATCTCTACTACCGTCTTCCCCCAAACATAACGCACCCTTAAAATGAATGTATACGAGTTGTATTTCCGGCCAGATACAGCCTCGTTTGCCAGATACAGCCAAAACGAGGGTGCATTCTGTTCGGAGGAAGACGGTAGTGCCAGCATGGACAGTGGAGCTGCGCGCCAACAAAAGGAAGTGCCATGTTGCTTGATGTACCACGAAGACAACGTGTCTCTTTTTTTTTTTTTTTTTTTTTTTACATGACGAACTTGGCTTTGAGCTTGCTTCTGCATCTCGACTATTGGGTGCAGGCTCTTGTCTGCTCACCAGAGGCCAAAACTGAATAACGGAGCCGAGCTCTTGTCTGCTCACCAGAGGCCCTAACTGAATGATGGAGCCGAGCACTGCGAGTGAGCTTTAAGAACTCACCCCTTCGCAGGGCCGAGCCAGAGGAAATTCGAGACGAATTATGTAGACCTCAAAAAAAAAAAAGAGTAGTTGAAGGATTTGGGCCTCGCCCTGTGTGACCACGCGAGGCACCTTTTTGGCAACTGGTAGTAAAGTCCCACTCGTGTCCTACTTGATTTGCTCCCACTGTGTGACCGGGCGGGGCAGTACTTCACCAAAAGCGGGATTGCAAAATTCTCTTTTTTTGCTGCTATGCTACCGCTGTGTGAGTATGCCCTTTTTTTTTTTTTTAGCGGTTCTTCGGAGTCACACACACCCTATCCACTAATCCACATACGTGGGTAGTGGGATCTCCCTCCAGGTGAGAGAATTTTTTTTTTTAACAAGAAAATTGTCCCTTTATTACTCAATGAAAATTATTGGGCCGGGGCCCCACAATTCAAGCCGGTGAATGTATCTGACAGCATCAGCCAGCTTAGCTTTGTGCTTCAGAGCAGGGAAATAGACTAGGAACAACTTCGGTCCCAAGGACCTTTGTCCTGTTGGCCCTACTCTGAGCAAACCAAAAGAAGAAAGAAAGAGATTGCCTTCACGGCCTATAAAGCCACACAAACCAAAAGGAAAATTCCAAAGTCCAACTGTTTCCCCTAATTAGCCACACCTCATTTCTTATCCCCTTGTCTCACCTCCTGCTCATGTCCTATTCCTACTACCAGCTCCTACTTCCGTTCTGTCCCCTTTCCCACCTACTGCGGTAAGATCTGTCTTAGCACTCCCTCCTCTTGCAGTCTCCCTCTGCCTGTCTCCTGCGACCCTTCATCCGAGTGCCCAGGATTTTACTTCTACTTCCCCTATTCGCTATTCAACCACTGGCCTAGCTCTAATCTTTCTCCCTCAATCTTCACCATCCGCTCACTCTGACCCCACGTTTCTCTGCACCATTTCAGGCCTGATTCCCTGTTTCTGGGCTTGCTGAATTTCCTCCTCCAGTCTGCCATCACTGCTCTTCGAAGGAGTTGTTTGAATGTTCTCCTGATTTGCTTGTTGCAAGTTGTTGGTCCAATCCTTGGACTTGAAAACTCTGTCGTTTCTCTCCTGCCAAATGACTGTGAACCCAACTGCCCTTGTCACTTGTGCAACATAGCCCCAGCCCTTTGTCATGCTGTGTCCATCGTGTATTCCCCCAGCAAACACCATTCTTTTGTCCATGCAAATGCTCCATCGGGTAAAGCTGGTCTGTCGTCCTTCGGGACATCCGTTAAAATTGGAACGATACAGAGAAGATTAGCATGGCCGCTGCGCAGCGATGACACGCATAAATCGAGGAAAAGAGAGCCGGTATGTCTGTGTGTCGGATACGATCGCTATCGCTCAGTTTCTTTTCAACTACAGAGCCGCAGCGCTCAGAATATAGCGTCCCTGACGCGACGATCCTGCTCGCGTGCGGCGGGGGGGTGAGCGCTCTCTTCCTGACGACCTCCTTCGAGCAACACGCCATCCCGAAAGACTTCCAGAAACACCCTACCGAGCGAAGGGAGAGCTCTCCGTACTCGAGGCAACGGGGAGGAGGCCAGCGAGTGGGAGAACGCGCGCACGCGCGTGCCACAGAGAGAGAGAGAGAGAGAGAGAGAGAGAGAGAGAGAGAGAGAGAGAGAGAGAGAGAGAGAGAGAGAGAGAGGTCTCTGGAATTAAGGCAACTCGGGAGACGGGAGCGCGGGCGAGCGGCAGACCAGCTATCGAAGGGGTGCACGGCGCGCACACACACACACGCACACACACTCACACACACATATACACACACAGACAGACAGAGAGAGAGAGAGAGAGAGAGAGAGAGAGAGAGAGAGAGAGATGGTATCTCAATGAGTAGAGGGGGAGGACTCTGGAACTAAGGCAACCGGGAACACTGAAGCGGCGGGCGGCCGTCAAGCGAAGGAGCAAGCGAGGGATCGGAGGGATCCACCCCCCCCGGCACACACACACACACACCTGTCTCTTATACACATCTAGATGTGTATAAGAGACAGCCACCCTCCATGCGTTTGCCACTACATACGAGCGCTTCCGANAGAGAGAGAGAGAGAGAGAGAGAGAGAGAGAGAGAGAGAGAGAGAGAGAAGAGAGAAAGAGAGAGATCGCGGCGGGGAGGTTCTATAACGTTTTCCTTTCTCAATTAGCATCGATTCGGTAGATTGAGGGTTGTAACAAAGATCACAGGAGTTGAACTGGTGGGGCAAACTGTGAATTGACACAACGGCGGTGAAGAGAGGAGGATGACGAGAAGCACTTGAAAGTGGAAGGCTGATTTGCCCGGGCTCTTACTTACAGTATTTCGCTTACGCTGGGCCACACCGACCGTGTACTGTTTCGAATTTGAGTTAGTCCATGACTCCATGGAGATTCTGATATTATGTTCTCTGCCTCCGGATTGTGTATGATTTACCACTGTCATAAGTGAATGGCAATTGACTGTTGTCTGAAAATGGTGCTCTAAATGTTTAGGGCATAATCACATAGGAACGTTTTGGACGGAGCTCTGGACGTGATTGCCATCAGATGCATCCACGTCCGGCCGTGATTAGAGTCAGATGCAGTGGTAGTAGCAAAGTGGTTGTTAATTGGCAGGTTGGGGGTAGGCAGAAATGCAAGGAGTGCATTGCGAAGGAGTGTTTAGCAAAGGCGTGCGTGCAGAGGCAAAGACGTATATAGATAAACCGCCGCTGCCGAATTTTTCAGCAAGAATGTAAATTAAACGTGTTTTCCGTCAATCAGCAAGTGCGATATTCTCTTCTACGTCGGATTGAAGGCAGTTGAGCGCGGGGAACTCAAAGAGAGGTAGATCGATGAATAGTTTGGGAGGCAAAGATATCAGGGTGAGTAGTCCTTGGGAGTCGAACCCTCGTCACTGGAGGGGCGAGGTCTCTCTTGACCGTAGAAATTTTTCGTTCTGCACCGTAGATTATGAATTAACGCCCCGAAAGCTGAACCTGATGAATGGAATCTCTTGAAGCTCGGAGGATAGCTGATGGGGTGGAGTGATGGGTATAAGGGGTTGAAAGGCTCCGTGAAGGTTAGGGAGAGGGATAGCCTGGAGGAGAGTTGCTGGAGTCGTCCTCAGTGTGACTACAGTATGCGTCTATGGCTAGAGAACGGACTATAGACGCAAAAAACGGACTAAACGAATAGTCACACATTTTCCCCCTGAATCTGGGGAGAAAAAGTGGCCTGAGATATTCACGAAAATGCGAGAGAGAGAGAGAGAGAGAGAGAGAGAGAGAGAGAGAGAGAGAGAGAGAGAGAGAGAGAGAGCGAGAGAGAGAGAGAGAGAGAGAGAGAGAGGGAGAGAGAGAGAAGACGGTGGCGGGGGGGGGGGGGGGGTGGAGGAACTTGCCTGAAAAACGACTATGTGTTTCAGACCTGCGTTTGCCTGGCTATTGGGCGGTCAGGGGCGCGAAGAAAGAGGAAGGCAGCAATCAGGGCAGCAAGCGTCAAGGCCAACTATGACCGTCGATGAATTCCCAGTGTTGGATCGAAAGCGATACGCCATGGAAGACAATCCTGTAATAGGCATCGATCTGGGGACCTCCTACTGCTGTGTGGCTGTGTTCCGCAACATAGACGACATCGAGATCGCTCCAAATCACCTCGGGCACAGGATCACTCCTTCCTGCGTGGCATTCACTCGTCATAACGGCTGTCTGGTGGGGGATGCTGCGAAGAGACACGGGATGACGAATCCCGAAGAGTGCATATTCGAGGTCAAGCGCCTAATGGGGAGATTTTTCAATGACGCAACTGTCCAGCAGGACAAAAAGAAGTGGCCTTTCGGCGTGTCATCAGGTCCTGCTGGCAAAGTTGTTCTAAGCGTTCCCAAGGCATCAGGTAGGCAACGCTCGTTCAAACCTGAAGAGATTTCTGCCTTGTTGCTGAAGGAGATGAAGGAGATCGCAGAGAAGTTCAGCAATTGGGGGTCCATTACGGATGCCGTCATCACTGTACCTGCGTACTTCAACCACCGTCAGAGAAAGGCGACTATGGCCGCCGGGGTCAGCGCAGGATTAAATGTGCTGCGACTTATGAGCGAACCCACGGCTGCCGCGCTGGCCTACGGTCATCAACGGCTGATACGGAGGGGGCGTGTGGAGAAAAACATCCTGGTGTTCGACCTGGGCGGGGGAACCTTCGATGTGTCCATTGTCTCAGTGAAGGCCGGCCCAGATGAGGACCGCAGCTTCGTGGTGAAGGCAGTGGTGGGAGACTCTCACCTGGGAGGCGCGGACATAGACCAGCGGCTGCTTGAGCATGCGATGCAGCATTTCAAGAATCAACTTCACGGGAAGGATTTCCTGGCCAACAAAAGGATTCTGCCAAGACTTAACCAGGCCGTTGTGGATGCCAAGCATGCTCTGTCCGCTAAAGGAGTTACTATGGCCGATATCAATTTGGAGTACAGTGACGATGTCCTCACCTTGAAACTGGGCCGCCTCAAGCTGGAGGCACTCAACGAGGACCTGTTCCGCAAGTGCATGACCATCGTTGAACAAGCTCTCAGTGATGCCAAGATGAGCAAGGATGAGATCTCTGACGTTGTCCTGGCGGGTGGATCGACGAGGATTCCAAAGGTGCAAGAGATGCTGACGACATTCTTTGGCGAGGCGCCCATCAAGTTTGTCAATCCTGACGAGGTGGTGGCGTTTGGAGCTGCAGTACAGGCCGGCTTGCTGGCCAGAAGCAACAAGTGCGCTGAGGCAAGCATATCAGTTCGGGATGTGACGTCCGTGAGTTTCGGAGTGGACTCAAGGCTCGGCATTATGAATATCCTTGTCCCTAGAAACTCTCCCCTTCCAGCAGCAAGTGGAAGTACTGAGTTCCCGTTAGATCACCACCAGTCAATACCTGTCGAATTGTATGAGGGTGAACGTGCTCTCTGTGCACACAACCGGTGTCTCGGGAAGCTACATGTGGATCCTTTCACACCTGGTCCAGCAACATTGAAGACTGTACTCCGAGTGGTGCTTACAATTGATGCTCACGGGATTCTTCATGCGACAGCGGAGGTGCTGGCAAGGCATAAGGACATTGGGAGAAAGGTCGAAACCATGGTTACACTTGATACGGATGTTGTGCAGTCTTCAGCCGATGGGACGGACACAATGGACTGGTACACGGCAGAAGCAAAAGCTGAGGACGCCAGGATCTGGGCAGCGAAGGAATCCATGAAGAAGCTGCGGCATCTCATTCTTAAATTGCAAGCAGAGCATTCGTCCAACAAGAGCGACACTGATCTGGAGAAGCATTTGAGGAAGGACTGGGAATGGTACGAAGGGCTGAAGAAACTCGCGTCAAAGGAGGAGTTCGACAGGAGATACGATAAGCTGCAAAAGTATCAAAGTCCTTAACCAGCTGACCTGATTATAATTGGGAGGACGAGCTAACTTAAGGAACTTAATGACCTGACAGCCATCAACCTATTGTCGTCACCCGAATAGAGTGCCTGGTCATTATACCCGTATTTGGTGCAATTTTCGGTCCAGATACAGCTATAATGACCGGGCATTCTATTTGCGTGAAGAAGTTAGAGATTTAGGCTTGCACCTGTTGTGTGAAAACTTGTGGTGTCCGTAGAACATGTTTTCGGCAGTGACTATTGGTGGAGGTCATTCCGCCATTTTAGTGGCAATTGCCTCCTTCCCTCAGTCACGTCCGCTATCCCTGCTATCATCGGCACCTCGCCTTGTGTGACCCGTCACCGTGACCGGTGACCGGCTGGTCACTGTGACCGGTCGCCTTGTCTGACAGCTTGTGTGAGGACTCCTCACTTAGGAGCGTGCTGTATTCTGAATGCTCCCTACGGAGCTCTCGGTTCTGTGGGAAGCAGGTGCAGTTCTGCCAGTTCGGGCCAAGGCATAGTGGAATTCGCTCGGTGAGGAGGATTGCCTTTTTGTCAATCAAGGGTGATTCTATTTTTTTCTGAGCTATTCCAGTTTAAATGGGGTAAGTACTCAGAACCCGGCTGCTGCCACAGTGCCACCCAGAAAGTTTGGGCTGCCTTTTTCCCACATAGGAAGCTGCCACTTTGAGATAAGAATAGAGAGAAAGGATGCACAGGGGAAAGGGAGAGGAGGACTCTGACGCGAGGACACTATCGTAGCAAGTGGAGCGCACAAGTTGCACTATATATATAGTCGAGAAAGTCGGTACCTTCGAAATAGGAGATTGAGGGATAGATATGGGACAGCCGACTTTGCTCAACAGAGACATCCTTCGGAATATTGCCTGTAGGCTGTAGGAATGCAACATCTTGCATATGGAATGTAGTCATTAAGCACACCGGGCTTATGAGAGTGTGACCATCTTCGGCCAAGCAGGGTGCTCAGGGTAAGCAATCAAGAAGTACTAGTCGTAAAGCGTGTATGTAGCGTGTATATACCGGTTGTTGCGAGTCTGGGCGAATTCAGGGCAAGGGAGCAGGGCTGCGAAGGAGGCGTGGGACAGATAGCCTTTTGAGTGCCCTTTGTATTATCATCAGGTGTAAAGACTTTGAGGGATGGACGAAGGAAAGAAGGTCCATTTTCACCACTCAAGATTCCCCGGCCAGTCACCTCTTTTTCTGTTTTTTTTTTTTTTTTTGGAAGCAGGACGGCCTTGAGAGGTATCATTATTGAAATGACCGGTCCCGGCTACTTCAGAACGATTTGACTCGAGTAGGATTCGAACTTAGGTCTGCTTATCATCAATTCATGGGTGTTTCCAGATGGGGCAGCTCCCCATAGATAAAGTGGAGATGACACAAAAAAGAATCTAAAAGAGGAAGGGATCAAGCATGCCCCGAGCGTCTAGCTTAACACTTTGAGGATGGACAAGCATGCCAGGTATAAACAGTAGCTGTTGGTGGTCGGCTGTTGAAAAAAGCTCTCTATCTAAGGTTGCCTTACAGTGGCTTTTTTCATTTTTGTTCAGTCCGCCCGAGGTGCGTCTGAGGTGTCTTATCTAATGTATTTACCTGATCCGCGCGCGCAAGAGAGAGAGAGAGAGAGAGAGAGAGAGAGAGAGAGAGAGAGAGAGAGAGAGAGAGAGAGAGAGAGAGAGAGAGAGAGAGAGAGG